CCCCCCCCCCCCCCCCCCCCCCCCCCCCCCCCCCATCTACCACAATCTATCCACCCCCCAACCACTCCCCTCCATCCACCACCACACACATCTATTCACCCCCAATCCACACCTCTCCATCCACCACCACACACGTCTATCCACCCCCCAACCACTCCCCTCCATCCACCACCACAAACGTCTATTTACCCACCATCACACCTCTCCATCTACTACCACACAGGTCTATCCACCCACCATCCACCACCTCATGCGTTTATCTACCCACCATCCACACCCCTCCATCCACTGGCACACACTTCTATCCACACCCCATCCACACTCCTCCATCCACCACAACACACATCCATCTATCCACCATCATACCCCTGTATTCACCTCCACACATCTATCCCCCCACCATCCACCACCACATACGTCTATCCACCCACCCTCCACCACCTCACACATCTATCTACCCTCTATCCACTACCACACACATCTATCCACATGCCTCCATCCACCACCACACACATCTATCCACCCCCATCCACACCCCTCCATCCATCACTACAAACGTCTATGCACCCACCATCCACACCCCTCCATCTACCATCCACACTCCTCCATCCATCCACCACTCTACACACATCTATCCATCCACCACCATACACGCTCATATATCTCCATCCACCACACGTCTATCCCCCCACCATCCACCACCACATACGTCTATCCACCCACCCTCCACCACGTCACATGTCTATCTACCTATCCATCCATCCAATGCCGTGCCTACCCCCATCTACACCTCTACCCCGATATAACATGACCCGATATAACATGAATTCGGATATAACGCGGTAAAGCAGCGCTCCGGGAAGGCGGGGCTGCGCGCTCCGGCAGATCAAAGCAAGTTCGATATAACGCGGTTTCACCTATAACGCGGTAAGATTTTTTGGCTCCTGAGGACAGCGTTATATCAGGGTAGAGGTGTATTTACCACCATCCACAGCTCTCGAGCTGCCTGTCCTTCCATCTGCAGAATGTCACCCCACACTCCTCTATCCCTCTGCAGTCAGTGACTCTCTCTTGCTCTCAGCCTTAGGGTATATTAGGGTTTGTGACGCCTCCTCACACCACCTCCCTGCCCCATCAGACCTTCTCTCCATGGCTTGCCCTTGGATACCAACTCCCTGTGAGGCCTCAGCCAAGGGGGTTCGGCCTCCATTCACTGCTAGCCTCACCGCAGCGCAGTCCGGTCCCTTGGCTCTCTGCCCGCAGGCCGTTCCAACTCTGCACTGCTGGGGGCCAACACCTGTTGCTCCAGGACTCTGAGAATCCATTAGTACGTGGCTGCTTTGACAGCTCGTCTGCGGTTTCCTCTGGGGAGGCGCTGGGGAGATTAATCTGCATCGACCGGGGCAGGATCAATAGCATCCAACAAGCTGAGCAGGAAATATTGACCAGGACAGGCCCGGCTGCAGATAATTGCTTCTACAAACAATCCCCAGCAGTGCAGCAGCTGGTGGTAGCAGCGGGCAGTCGGGGGTGGGGTTGGATCCTGAACTATTTCTCTGGACGGAGAGGGCTGGATCCTTAGTTCAAGTTCATGAACCTTTTATCCTGTCATTTGAACCCACAGGGGCCGGTTTTTGTCTCCTGCTGCTTGTGCAGCCATTTGCTCCCGTGCAAAGGGGAGTGCAATGCACCCAGGAGGGGTTCACACCTGCTCTGCTGTGAATGACAAACAAGGGGCAGGGGATGGGGAATCAGGTTCCTTGAGACACCCAAGTGGACTGGATGTGGTCTTGATCCTCAGCTGATGCCTGGTTAGCAGGGGCATGGTGGCTCTCTGCTCCTGGGCCCTGAACTAGCCCTGGGGTAGAATCATAGAATGTCAGGGTTGGAAGGGACCTCAAGAGGTCATCTAGTCCAACCCCCTGCTCAAAGCAGGACCAATTCCCAACTAAATCATCCCAGCCAGGGCTTTGTCAAGCTGTAACTCTCACTGCTTGCTGCTGTAGCGGCCAGGGATCTCACAGGGAAATGGGATCTTGCCCCCTTTGCCGAGGTGAGGGTGGCAGGAGAGGTAAAGCCAGTTTGGTGCCACTCTGTGTCGGGGCCAGGTGGGGAACCCTTAATGCGCCTTTCAGGGTAGCATCCCAGCTGCTCTGTGCTGATCACCAAAGGGCCTAGCACAGCGCTCTATGAGCTGGGTGGTTGGATTCTGGGTCCCTTCCCCCCCCCCATCAGGTCCCCTCAGGAGCAGGGTGAAGAGGAACAATCGTGTCCATGGACTCTGGAAACTCCCCTGAGCCGGGAATGAGGATTGGAGCGTGAGATTCAGGCAGATTCTTACCAGATCCCAGGGATTTCCCACAGCCCGAGTTCCCGGCGGGCACAGGCATGGTGGTAAGGAGTCAGCATCAAACACCTTCACAGCAGGCCTGGGCCCCAGCTACAAAGCCCCAAGTTGGTCCTGCATGTCTCCCCACTCAGATGCAGGGTTTAGTCCATGCCCAAAGGTGAGTGCGTGTGTGTCTGGGAAGGGGGGGGTGTTCTTGGCTTCTGGGGGGAGTTTCCCAACAATACAGCTGAGCTGAGTTTGAAAAGCAGCTAGATGGGTCCTGTGTTCAGGAGACCATTGTATGATAGGAGGGGCAGTAGGGTTAATGTTGTCACCCTCTGCCACACAGTAGCAGATTTTGGGGCCTAGCAGGTCAGTTTCCCATTGGAGGAGAAACCTGTGACATGGAGCCCCTGTGTATTCTTAGCGCCGCTTGTTTATTTACACTATATGCACCAGTCCTGGAACAGTGGCGTCCCAGACAGCAGGCAGGCAATGCTCCCCTCTCAGACATCTCAGCCCACACACCCATACCCGGTTCCCAGGGAGCAGCTCTGCTCAAGAACTGACTCCCCTTCAAGAGATTCCAGCAGGGTGCAATCTGCTTGCAACAGCTCCCCCAAAAGCAACCGCATCCCCCCCAAAGTGACAACAACGCAGCACTTCAACAAAGACTGACACTGCTCCCTCGAGACCAAACAGACCTTGTATGACTGGGTGCAACAGCGCCACCTGGTGACTCCTGCCCTAACAATAATGGTCCTTCACCTTCTCCTGAACTGCTATAGCAGTTGTTCTCAAACTTTTGTACAGTACTGGTGACCCCTTTCACACAGCAAACCTCTAAAGTGCAACCCCCCTTATAAATTAAAAGCACTTTTTTAATATATTTAACACCATTATAAATGCTGGATGCAAAGCGGGGTTTAGGGTGGAGGCTGACAGCTTGCAACCCCCCCATGTAATAACCTTATGACCCCCTGAGGGGTCCTGACCCCCAGTTTGAGAACCCCCGTGCTATAGGAAAGTCTCACTCCACAGCCAGATGATGGAATTAACGCTCCCAACAATCCCAGCTGCCTCCAGTCCTGCAAGGTAGGTCAGGGCCATCTGCATTATACATAGGGGAAACTGAGGCACAGAGCAGGGACAGGAGTCACACAGGGTCACACAGCAAGTCAGTGACACAGCTGGGAACAGAACCCAGGAGTTCTGATCCACAGGCAGGATTCTGAGCTAATCACTAGGCCCCAGTCCCCTCCCGGAGCTAGGGATAGAACCCAGGAGTCCTGACACCCTAGACCCCACTCTCAGAGTTTAAGGCATCTTATTTTACGAGGGGGTGGGGAAGTCTCCAGATTTCCTCTCCTCCCAGGGACCCTCTGTCCTGCAGAGGGCAGCTCCCCCACACCCTGCAGGCAGCACTGTGAAAAGGGCCAAGGATTCCTCAGACAGCACCCAAAGGCAGCCACCTCTGGGGTGAAACAAGGCAGCTGTTTAGCAGCCAGGCAGAAATGCTCCACAGGGACCCCTTACCACCCAGCACTGACATGCAGCCACCTCTGGGGGGTGGGACACGTACAACAGCTGCACAGGGACGCGCAGCGCTAAATGTAACCCCCACCCCTCCCACGGAGAGGCCGCATCGGAGACGCAGGAAATTGAGGGGGGGCTTTCCCGCCCCGACTGTAGCTCCGAGCCCAGGCGCGGGACGTGGCGGCGCACAAGCTGCGGCGGGGGCCGGGGGATCGATCCGAGCCGCCCAGCGGCTGTTCCCAGCTCGGCGAGCCGCGCTGCGCGGCTGCAATCGGGCGGGGCCGAGGGAGGCCGAACGGACCCGAGCCGGCGCACGGGGCCGGGGGCTGCCTTGCCTCGGGCGGCGCGACCCCGGCGTAGGCTCCTAGCCCCTGGCCGGCGCTCGCCACCATGGGAGCCATGAGGGAGCCGCTGCCCCGGGGCGCGCTGGGCTCCTTGTTGCTGCTGCTGGGTGAGTCGCCAGCGGAGGGGGCAGCGCCGGCCGGGGCGCACGGGCTGCGGGGGTTCCCGGGGCTCTGTGCGGGCTGCTGGGGGCATGGTGCGCGGGGAGCCCTGGCTGCTTGGTGTGTGTGTGGTGGGGGGGCTCTGGGGTATCTGCTGCTGAAGATGGGGCAGTCCCCTTGGCGGCTGGGGACGGGGGGGGTGCAGTGCGACCGGGGGGAGCCCTGCCCCCTTGGGGACTGGGGGTGCTGTCAGGCCGGGGGAGCCCTGCCCCCTTGGGGACTGGGGGTGCTGTCAGG